GATTACTCGTGCTAACTTATCGACTGGACACGAATAATGCAAAGGTGTTGCTGGGAACGAGGCTCAAGGGAAGAGCACTAGAATGGTTCCATTCGCGTCCCGAACACATCGGATTGAGTGTAGACGAGATATTGATGGAAATGAAGAAGATGTTCGACCAGCAACAAAGTATATTAAAGTGGCGTAAACAATTCGAAGAGCGAGTTTGGAAGACGGGAGAAAGTTTTAGTGCGTACTTCCACGAGAAAATTATTTTGGCGAACAGAGTCCCGATAGAGGAGGAAGAATTAACAGAATATCTAGTGGAAGGAATAACGAGTACGCAATTGCGTAATCAAGCACGGCTGCAACAATTCTAAGGCCGAGCTATTGAGTGCTTTTGAAAATATTGATCTGTTGGAGACCAAGAACCGTTCAGAACAAGATTGCAGGATATGGAGCAAAAGCTCCAAGGAGGGACGACTCCAGGTGAAGAAAGAAACATCACTGAAAAAAGAGGCATCACTGAAGAAAGAAATAGCAGAGAGTTCCAGTATGATGCAGGCGAAAACCCGGTGCTACAATTGCAGCAAATTCGGTCACATGTCCAGAGACTGTAAGCTACCGAAGCGTGAAAAAGACGCTTGTTTTAAGTGTGGAGAGAAGGGTCATATGATTGGCAATTGTACGGGTAAAGTAAATGTAGAACAGGTTAATTTTCTGCATACCGCGGAAGCTACTAATGACTTTCAGAGTGAAGCTACTTTAAAGTTTAATAGTTCTCAAACGAAATACGAAGTAGTAGTAGATGCTTTAATTGACACAGAGAGCCCGATTAGCTTTGTAAAAGAAAAAATGATCCCTAGTTGTTTTATTGACTATACCGATAAAGAAAGGAAAGTTTGTGGAATAAATAAAACTAGATTAAATATTATTGGCTCCACTACGGTGGATATCTCTTCTGATAAAGTAAAGGAGGTTGATGCACACGTTTATGTTGTTCCTAATGATACTATGTCATTTTCGTTGATAATAGGGAGAGATCTTTTGAAAAAATTCAAATTGTGTATTGCAAGTAAGGTCAAGAGCGATGTAAAGGAAGAAGTTAATGAAATTCTGAACATAAATGCGACGGAAATGGTAGATAATATATCCGATTCGTTAATTATTAATTCCGAAACTACACAGGATAAGCAGATAGAATTCAAGTGCATATTCGAGAAGGAGTATATAAATCCAGAGCACCCAAAGGAACCAAAGGTAAATGCAGAACTAAAATTGGAATTGAAGGATGTACAACATTTCCATTTTTCCCCGAGACGACTTGCCTATGCGGAAAAGGAACAATTACAGATAATATTAGATGAGTTACTAGCGAAAAGAGTAATCAGACCGAGCAATTCGGAGTATGCGTCACCAATTGTATTGGTAAGAAAGAAAAACAGAGAATATCGTTTATGTATTGACTATAGAACGTTAAATAAGTATATTGCACGCACAAACTATCCAATTCCAGTAATTGAAGATCAGAACAATGTTTTACTGGGTAAAAAGTATCTTAGCATATTGGATCTCAGAGATGGGTTCTTTCATATCCGAGTAGCTGAAGAGTCGATTAAATACACAGCTTACAAAGAAGGAGATTATGTTATGTTACGAAATTTTGACAGTGCAGGAGGCAGCTTTAAGAAACTAATCCCACAGTTTAAAGGGCCATATGTAGTCAAAACGGTACTACGAAATGATCGCTATCTGATATCTGATGTAGAAGGTTTCCAAAACACGCAAAAGAAATACCAAGGAATGTGGGAGTCGAGAAACATGCTTTTGTGGGTAAAGCCCGATTCTGAAAAATGTCAATAGATAGTAAAGTATGGTTTAATTTCTAGTTGCTCCTAGTTTAGTGTTAAATCCGTCATTGCGAAAATTTTTATGTTAAACATCACTTTGAGTCGTGTAATTCGCCGAGAGGATCGAGGTCGATCCTAGGTCAGAATTGGCTGAAACTTAGAATGCTTATATTGATCGTGTCGCGGGTGCCTATATACGTTACTGGGCGCAAGAGATCGTGGATTACTATGTGAGCATCGGTTTTTGTTTTCGGCGGAGCGAGCGTCAGACTGTCTCGAGCGACCGCCGTGTGTAGCAGTAAAGACTCTTCTCGTCAATTGTTGTCTTATTGTGTATTGTATCGGTATCCTGAGTCCCTACCTCTCCTACACTTTATTGTTTTTATCTCATAAGCATTACGTTATATAATCCAAAAATGGTAAAGAATAATTATAAGAATGCACTTAGTTAATAAAAAAACTTATTTATAATTAAATTTTATGAATTTAGCTACTGGTACAGTAATTTTATGATTGCCTAGTAACCGGCCACATGTTCAGTTACCGATGCAACTTGCGTTACACATGTGCTCGCGTGTACCAACAAGCAAATCGAGAAATAACTGCTGTCATAAATATTTTTATAAGTAAAGTTACTTAAAATTATTGTCAACAAAAGTTTAAAGAATAAGTAAATATTGACACATCAAACAATGTAATTTGAAAGTGTATATTTTAACCATACAACTTCTATACCTATATAGCCTCTAAAATATAACTTCCGAACGGAATCCATGAGAACACTTTGTAGTGTCACCTGTATTAATGTCAACTGTATTAATGTGTCAACTGAATTTAGCAATAGGGACATTGTCCGGGTATTGGTACATTCTTACTCTTGCAAATTTTGATTATTTTTGAAATAATTTTGATAATTTTACTGTCTTTTATATCTTAATAATACTTCTAAAAGTCTCAGCTTTTAATTAATTATATTTTTACGTTATTAAATATTATATACTTTTATCAAATTAAACAATTGTAGTATTACGCCGTTAAATGTCCGGCTATTGGGACATTTACCTTAAACATTTGCCATTTGCAAAGTAAAAAAGTATACGAACAAAATATGTTTTATAAAACAAATCATATTTAACATTTCTCTTTAATTTCAATGCTGTAGTATAAATAAGTTATATTTTCACATTAATAACAAAACATGTTTTAAAGCAAAAGATGTACATATTGGGCAAGAATGGATTTCTATTATTTATAATTAAAGGTCTTTCTGTTCTTTATTTCTTTAATATTATTACATATCCTTCATGTGTATAGAGTATACTATTAGGACCTTAACTTAGTTTCCGCCTAAAAAATACTGAGAAAAAGCATTTATTGTAAAAAATTTATTTAAATTATTTCAATGAAAGTATTTTCCATCACTTTCTACAACTTTTTGCCATCTTTCTGGCAACTGGGCGATACC